CCTTCCGAGTTGGGCTTAAGGTCGCGCGTGCACGCGCGCGCAGGGCTGCTTGGATTCCTCCCGTCAACCGCATCAATAATTCAAGGACCGGGTCTGCAGAGGCGGGTAGGCGCTGACGTCGTTGCCTGGGTAGAGGTCGGCCCCATGGCCTCCGGACCCGGCAGGGCAGGCAGGGCAGGCTACAGGGTAGAGGGGGATGTGTGCCCCTGCCTCTCCCTCCTGGAGTTAGAACAGCACCGAGCCTGGACACCTGCTGCACCCAGGCAGAAGGAGGCACCCTGGTCCCCCCGGGGCCCCTAGCCCTGCAGGTTCATCCCTCCAGCATTGCCTTCCTACGCCCAGAAAATAAGGCGCAGCGACCCCCTTCTCCCTGCTGGGACTCCAGCCTGATGGACCAGTTAACACCATAACCCAGACTTCCCTACTTTTGCCTGACTGGCACCCTGCAGTCCCCCAAACAACCAAGACAACCCCCGCAGGGTCAGGAGGGGTCTGCAGGCACAGACACGCAGGGAACAGCTTCCACAGGGCTGAGGTGGTCACAGGCGCCAGGCAGAGCCAGGTGGGCACATGCCAGGCGGAGGGCACACCGTCAGTGGGATATACACATGCCTACACACCGATCCATACAGGCTTACAAACAAGTCACAGACCGTTCCAGTTTGTGTAGAGATTTCAGCCTTCCCCGCCCTCCCCTGTGGACCCTGACCAGCAGCTACCTCCAACCGCTGCAGCAGACCAGGGTGCCCGGAACCTGCTGGCCTTGCCTAGTGACCCCCAAGGTGAGGCGACTGAAGGCAGAACCACCACCAGAGGCAGAGGGATCCCCTCCCTCCCCGCCCGCCTCGCCACCGCCAGACTCCGCACTCACCCCATCCCAGCACTCCGGCATCTTGCTGAGGGAGGCGACCCGCCTCGACTAGGAAGGGCAAACAAAGGCCTGAGTCACCAGAGTCCAGAGGGAGAGGGGAGCGCAAGTAGGAGGCCAGCGGCTCTATGACGGGGCACAGCTCCCGGGCCATTTATATGTAGAGCCAGGGGGTGGGGGGTGGGGGGTGGGGCCCTGGGCTGGCCCCTCCTCCCTGAGGGGTTTCTGAGCAGCCACTCGCTCACCCGGAGCCCCTGCTCCCAGATTGGCTTTCAGGAGACAAACTTGGCTCTGATTGGCTTCCAAGGTTCTCACTCACCCACCCCCAGCAAGACATCAGTCTTGATGGTCCCCAGCCCCTGCATCCGGCCCACCCCCAGCACAGAGGCTCACAGCAGCAGCTGCACACGGGTCCTAGGAAGACAAGAGGCCACGTGTACAGGTGTGCCCTGTGACAGGCACACAGGAGCCTCTCAAAGACGAGCACACCGAAGCAGGGCAGGGTGGACCACACAGGCATGCCCTAGACAGCAGAGCACTTGACCCATACCCTGGGAGCAGGGAGGGCCCGAGAGCACCCCAAGCCCAGCCTCCACGTCAGAAAGGCCTGGATCCCTTAACCTTGAGGGGATACGGGGAGTCACTGCTGCCTGGGGCAACCTGGGTCATGACCCTACTCCAGGGGACTGCTCCTTCTCCGCCCCCAGGGTCTCCCCTTGGGCAGCCCCCACTTTGCCCACATGTATACCCAGCGCCTGCTCACGCTGGGGAAATGGGGGTTCTGGGGCCAGGGGGCCTGGGCAGATTGCAGGACCAGGGAGATGGTGGGCACACACCAGCTCTGCCCTCCCCCACCCTCCACCCTGCACAAGGGGCTGGAGGCCACTAGAGACGGGAGGAGGGACGGTAGGCAGCTTGTCCATGTGGGCATGCCCACCTGCCGCAGACACACCCAGCCCTCTTTCCTGGGGCCACCCAGCCTGGGGCTTGGCTCTGAGTCTCTGGGGAGCAGGATGCTTGAGCCGCCTCCCGCCTCCCGCTGTCCTGAGCAGCAGGACAGGTGCTGGAGCTCACGTGGCTCAAGATTTGGGGGAGGAGCTGGCCAGAGACCTGCAGGCAGAGTAGAGAGATTAGAAGGGGCAGGGAAAGGAGAGCAGAGGAGAGGAAATAGGCCAGGGAGGGGAGCAGAGGAGGGAGCCCAAGGGCTGAGAGAAGAGCAACGGGGGGGGGGCCCTGTGCCCCCATTCTGTCTCTTTGGTGAGGGGACACGCCACTCGTCCCAGCCTGTGCCGACAGCCCTGCACGCTGGCTGGCTGCCCTGGGAGAAGGTGGTCACCTCCCCATCTCTGGGTGCCTAGTGACCTGGTCAGCACCTGCCATGTATGCTATTCCTGGCCATGTCCTCTGCCTGGGGGGCATCAATAACTTTCCCTGCCCCTCTCTGACCTCTCGCACTGCGGGCCTAGTGCAGAGTGCTGGGGGCCTGTGGTCTCCCAGGGCAGCTGGGGTGTGGAATGGGCTATCCCCCAGCCCCTCATGTTCTGTCCCTGTTCCCTGTTCCCTGCAGCCACTTCGGCACAGGAAGAGGCTCTGGCAATTGAGGTGGTGTGCAAAAGCACAGCCCTGTCTGCAGACGTGCCCACAAAATCCTCCCATATGCTTCTGGAAGAGGGGCAGGGTGGGGTGGCCTCCCACCCCTTCTGCCACTAAAACCCTGCCCCTTCATGGTCCCCATCCAACCTTATGCCCACCTGAACCTCTGAGTAGCCTTTCCCACCCTTGGACCTGGGAGATCTCAGACACTGCCCACCCCAAGCCATGACCTCCCAATTCTGCTCAGCTCAGTGGTTTCAAATCCACAGACCTGAGTTTAAATTCCAGCTTCCCCACCCACTAGCTGGGTGACCCTGGACAAGATTTTTAAACTCCTCTGTGCCTTAGTCTCAACTGTCAAATAGGAATTGTGCCTTTCTCACAGAGCTGCTAGGATGAAGAAAAGCCTCATACATCACTACATGTAGTGGCCTATATGCAGGCCTATATGTAGGCCTCTCCCAGGCCTGCCCAGGGGAGAAATGGGATAATCTGTGTGTCTCTCCAACCTGTTGGCCTCCTCCCTGGAGGTTGTACAGTTGTGGCTGAATAAGGCAGGCTCAGGTCCTGCTAGCCAAACCCTGCTGGTCTTTGCTGTGTGACCTCAGGCAAGTCAGTCAACAACTCTGAGCCTCCACATCTGTAAATGGTAGAAAAGCAGTGTAGCTGCTTGCACAGGTAGCCTTAGGGAGCAAGGGTAACACATAATCCTCACACACCTATGAGAAAGGCTGAAGAAGCTGAAGCACAGAGAAGTAAACTCTCCCACTCAGCTAGCTAGCAGTGGAGCTCAGCACCCTGGGCCTGAGGTCACATTAAGAGTAGTAAATGCTTAGTACCATATCTCCCACGCGCCATACTCCATCCAAATGCTTTGCACATGTTACTTTATTTTATCCTCTGAACACCCACTTTACAAACAAGGAAAATGAAGCACAGAGAGGCTCTGTAACCTGCCCAACATCACACAGCCAGTGGGTACAGAGCCAGGAACCACACGCAGGCAGTCTGGCTCTAGTGGCCACTAGTCACAGCCCAGGGTCTGAGTGCCCAGCCCAAGGGCACCAACCCCGACCCTACAAACACAAGGGGAGGGCTGAGCTGCCTGCCTCACTCTACAAATGAGGTAGTGACCTGTACTGGAGGTCAGGTGGCAGGGCCAGGACCTGGAACCAGGTCTTCCTAGCTCTAGTTTGTCCTTCTGCCTCCCCCACTGAACAGGATAAAATCCCTGCCAGGCCTTGGCGCAGACAAGGGCCATTCTGGCAGCTGCTTTACTAAAAAAACAATTAAAAAAAAAAAGCAGCCGCTGTGTGGTGTACCCAGAGTAGACAGTAAGGTATCTTTTAACACATGCTGCCCTTTACCAAGCAAAGGATCTTGAGAACCAAGGTCCCACACACATGGGGTGACCACCCTAGTCTGGGCCCGGCAGATGGGTGCAGAGGACCCCAGGATTCTCATCGCCTATTTCACCCTCCAATCTGCCTCCCAGGGTGCGTGTGTTTTGGGGGCTGGCAGTCAGCACCGTTGGCATCCAGTGAGTCCCATTCAATGTCGGGCAGGGGCTGATTGCTCTGGATTTTATTTCAGCAGCCCCCTCCTGTGGAGGAGGGTCTGCTTGTTCACACATTCCAGCCCTCATTTGGAGCAGGGAGGACAAAGGGAACTCTGGCTGAGCCTGGGCCACCTTGTGGACACCTCCCCGGCCCCTAGCTCCCCACTCCCGCAGGCCCCATCCTGTCTTCTCGAGCTCCAGAGGCCTTTGTGTTTGGAGCTGGTGCTCCCAGGAGACCAGAGCATGTGCATAAGGACCACTCTGATGCCTCTGCTTGCGTCCTTGAAGGACGGGTGACCCAGGGTCCAAAGCACAGTTCGTATCCAGATCCTCAGATCCTGGCTGCAGCTCCGTGCGCCTGGGAGAGGAGCCAGCAGGCCACCCCTCCTTCCACGTCACCCCTGCGTCCAGACCACAAGGCTGAGGCTGTCACGGGGCTGAGAGACTGGCCCAAATTAGATGGTGGCCTGGGGGCTAGCTCCTGCCAGCCAGGAGGAAGGTCCCAGAAAAGTCTGACTTTGTTCAGTAGGTTATGATGGCCAGCGGGGCCCTGGAGCCCTGTGAGGCTCCCATTGTGTCTGCTGTCATGCGTTTTCTGAGACCCAGAAATAAACGGCCACTATGGGACTCACAGGGGAGGAATGGTTGGCCAAGTGAGCAAAATCAGAAATCATCACGCAGAGAAATAAAAACAAAGAATGATTTCAGTTTCACAGGGAATCTGGCATCAAACTAAAGAGGACATGGTTGTCCTGGGCAACTGTTGCCATGGAAACAGGAGCTATTTCGGAGCATCAACCTGGCTTTCATAGGAGGAAAGTGCTGATTCAGATAACAGCATCCTCACTCCCCCAGACCTCTCCTCCTTTCCCTGTCCTGTTCAAGGAGAGAGGGGGCATTTCTCCACGGGACAGAGGGGAGGCAAAGCCGCTGTGAGCGGTGGGGGTGGTCCTGGAGGCTTCCAAGTGCCCAGTCCCTGTGGCTTCAGGCTGGGGGCACGTGGAAGGGCTGTGACCCTCCTCTGAAACAGGCTGGGTTGGGGAGGGGCCAGCCAGCAGCTGGTCCCCATCTGGGGAGGCTGAGCAGAGACCTACCTTCCAGTCTGTGTCCACAGCCGAGAGGAAGGTGTCGGAATTCTCCTAAAGCAAGGCAAACAGAGGGGGTGGCTCGTTAGGCCCCAGGCCGGCGCAGGCAGGGAAGGCAGGCGGCCACAGGGGCTCTGCCTTGAGCAGTCTCGCTTGCTGATCCCCAGGCTATCTTTTTTTTTTTGGCCACACCATGCGACATGTGGGACCTTAGTTCCCAGAAGAGGGAACAAAGCCGGCCCCCTGCAGTGGAAGCATGGAGTCTTAACCACTGGACGGCCAGGGAAGTCCCTCCCCAGTCTATCTCAATGTTAACAAAAGTGACAGAGGGCTTTCCAAGCGCTGGGCATCAGGCCATTTAGTACCTGACAGATGAGGTTACGAGCAGCTACACACATTGATTTTACCTGTTATTTTTGTTTTAACCTATTAATTGAAAATGTGAAGATTTCCACTTTGCAGGTGAGAAGGGTGAGGCTCAGAGAGATGGAAGTACATGGCTAGGAAGTGATGGAATAATCTCTGACCCCAAATTCTTGTTGTTCAGCACTTTGCCCGCTGCCCCAACAGATGACTTTTGAGGTCGCCCATCAGGGCACAAGCGCAGAGGCGGGCCTGACTATCACACCCACTTTAGGGATGGAGAAGCTGAGGGAGAAGGGGGCTTTTCTGACCTGCACAAAGGTGCTGTCTGGGCCTCTGCAGTAGCTGCTCCCACCTTTCCAGACCTGCCTGCTTCATGCTCTCAAAGCACCAGAATCCCCTGCTTTTAGGCTCATTTATGGTGACTGGTGTGAGTCTCTGATTGGTGCCCATCCCTCCCACTGCAGGCACCGAAAGGGTGTGGACCACGTCTGGCTCAGCTCTCAGCATAAAGCCTGGCATGGACCAGGCTCCTCAAACACAAACAGATCTGGATGAACAAGTCTAACTTCATGTATGAGGGGAGCACGGTTTACATATACCCACTGTCTATAAGGTGGCAGAAATGGAGAGTGGAGGAATGGGGGCCTGAACCCCATGTGTCTGCGTTGCCAGGCTCTCTCCGATGCAGCCCGGTGGCCCTCAGACACTCTACACCCGCCCTGGGTCTCTGTCTGGGGAAGGAACCTCATGGGGGGATCCCACATATCCAGGAAGAGCAGAGATCTGGGGCCTCTGCCCTGCCTTCTACTGTGTCTGTCTAGAACCCTCTCTGCTCTCCTCTGCTCACTGTGGGCAGTTCACTTAGCTTCCAAGCCTCAGTGTCTGTGAGGATTAAGCAAGGGGCACAGATAGCAGTCACTCTGCCCTTGGCACTCCTGCACTGGACTCTGTGTGCTACAGATGCTGTTGAATACATATGTGGATAAATGAGACACACTAGAACCAGGATATTATGGGAGGACAGCAAGTGAAGGGCAGGGCTACTAGGTGCAGCAAGAAGGAAAATGAACCCAAATCACAGGAGCAGGGAGGAAAACAATGAAAACCAGCGAAGCTGATGTTGTTGTCTCAAAATAAGAAGTTCGCCCACCTGCATTCTGGCAGTTGGAGTGGGAGGGGTGGTGGAAAAAATCAGACAGCCCTAGAGGCTCTCACACAGAAAAGGAAAGCCAGGTCTCAGTTGAAATCAACAACGGCTTTCCGCCCCTCCTGGTTCCTCCAGGGCCTGGGGGCTCTGCCTGGGGACGGGAGGAGAGGTGGCCTGGCCCCTCTGAGGAAGGGGGCAGGGGCCTGGGGGAAAGGGTTGAGGCTGGTTATCAATGAATCCTCTCACCTTGGAAGACCTTGCCCGAGGCTGGGCCAGGGAAAGAG